CACACACAGACAGACAGAGACACAGACACACACACACACACACACACACACACACACACACACACACTTCTGTTTACCATATTTGATGTGCTCTATGTATCTGCATTGATCAATGTTCACATGTAAAACATAAATTAAATCTGTTATCATATGAAGTGATTGCATCTGTTTGGAAGCTTCACAACATAAACGATCATAAACAAATCATTACATAAACTCATGATAATAATCTAGCTTTCCTTTTATTTACTAGCGGATGATATCATCACTCCATCAGCTCTCTCTGTTTGAACGGATATTTCAGATATCTCAGGTTTCATTAAAAATAAGTTCGTTTGTGTTTCACAGATGAAAATAAACTTTTTTAAGTTTGGATATTTGATAACAGAATTTATTTTTTGGGTAAACTATCCCTTTAAGCCACAAAGGTCAAGTGTGTATATAAGTAGTGATACTTATGATACAGGTATTGTATAGTGAGAAATAAATTCATCGCATAAAAATCTAAATCCTAAATGTGTTTACTAGTAATTTAATCATTTGTATAGCATGAAAATAAAATAATGATATCAATGTTATAATGATTTAAATAATGACATCTCTCATTTAACCTGAGAGAGCAGATATAGTGATGACAAAGACAGAAACATCACCTAGAGTTATTTCACTAAATAAATAAAGGCAGTTTATTAGAATGGCTTTATTTAACCTTTATTCCTTAATTATGATTACATGACAGACTGTTAATTAATAAAGACTTCTTTTTGTGTGTTTTCTTGCACAACAATTTGTTATGACCTCAAAATACTTTTACCATAGTGCATGATTTGAAAAATAATACATCTGATTTTGCATCACATAACCAGCTCCATATGTATGGCTTTTCTGATGTAGTAAACTTGCTCAGTAGCTCACCCGGTACAGCACTGCACTGTGAGCCACATGGAACATGAGTCATAAGTCATTCAGACTTGTAGAAGCAAGCTAAAATAGCATGGTTGCTTCGGTTTTTATCTCACATTTGCTTTTGTTAACACCATGGGTTAGGTTTAGGGTAGGGTTTAGAGTAGGCGGTATGTTATTTTCAAGCACGATAGAGCAATAACCGTTTAGCGCCACTCATGGGACATTTCATTTCCAAAGAGCCACAATACGCACACGGTTTTAAAATGTTGCCAGATTCACATACATCAGTTTCAGATTAAACTGAAACATGCTTCAAGCGCCACTCACTGGACATTTCATTTTCAAATATTACCAGTCAAAAGTTTGGGATCGGAACAATTTTTTATGTTTTTTACAGGAGTTTCTTCTGCTCATCAAGGCTGCATTTATTTGATCAAAAACACAGGGGAAAAAATTTAATATTGTGAAATATTATTACGATGTAAAATAATGTTTTTCTATTTTAATATACATTGAAATCTAATTTATTTCTGTGATGCGCAGCTGAATTTTCAGCATCATTACTCCAGTCTTCAGTGTCACATGATCTTCAGAAATCATTCTAATATGCTGATTTATTATCAGTGCTGAAACTGTTGCTGCTTCATATTTTTTTGGAAGGTGCGATACTTAGAATAAATATATATTTTAAATATCTATATTTTTTATTGTGATACGAATAAAAAGTTAAAAAGAAGAGCATTTATTTAAAATAGAAATATTTTCTAACAATATACACTACAGTACAAAAGTTTGGGGTCAGTAAATTTTTATTCTTTCTTTTTTTGAAAGAAATTAAAACTTTTATTCAGCAAGGATGTGTTAAATTGATAAGAAGTGATAGCAAAGATTTACATTTTTAGAAAAGGTTTATATTTTGAATAAATGCTGTTCTTTTTAACTTTTATTCATCAAAGAATCCTGAAAAAAGTATCGCAGTTTCCAAAAAAATAGTTGGCAGCACAACTGTTGATAATTCTAATAATAAATCAGCATATTAGAATGATTTCTGAAGATCATGTGACACTATACTGGAGTAATGATGATGGAAATACAGCTTTGCATCACAGAAATAAATTATATTTTAAAGGATATTCAAATAGAAACCATTATTTTATATTGTAATAACATTTTGCAAGATTACAGTTTTTTTGTATCAAATAAATGCAGCCTTGATGAGCAGAAGAGACTTCTTTAAAAAACATTACAGGTCTTACTGATCCCAAACTTTTGACCGTTAATGTACGAGAACCAACATATTATCATGTCGCCACAGGCACATTTCTCCAATGAGACTGGGTTGATTAAATGACAGCGAGAGCTGGATTATAAGCCTGAGATTTAACCTACACAGCCACAAAGTGAAAACATCTACTGGACTATTAAATATTATAAATTAAGGTTTTTGATGTTGATGTTGAATGGCTATAAATACCACTTTTTTTTTTTTTTTTACATTATTTGATGGTAAGAAACAATGTTGATGCCACTTCATGTCAGATTTTATGGCTGATTTGAAATATGTTATTGAAATGTGAATTGTCAAGCAGTTTTTGAGGTGTTGGTATTTCCTCTTGATTAAAAACAGACTCACTGCTGAGCTCAGTGTTAGCGATGCGCAGAGACGCGCTCTCAGACTGCAGGCTGCGGTTCTTCTCCAGCAGCAACACCTCTAACGGTTTACATGAGTCCTGTGAGAGAACATCACATTAGATCAACACCAAAAATTACACAAAAAACTAAACAGAACAAAAAAACCACATGCTTACCTGCGCTGTGGAGCTGTCACACGGCCCAAACTCCATCGACTTCAGGATGCTGTTAATATAAATGTGCCAGCTTTACTTCAGCCATGATTAAATAATACCACATAATGTTCAGAGACATACACAAGACTTTAAAAGTTTAAAGTTTTAGTTGCTCTAAGCAAAGACAGGGTTTGGTTTTAGATACAGAAGAGAATCAGATTCCCCTGTTTGCCCGAGTCTATGGATTACAGGTAATAATGTTCAAGTTTCTCGCACAGACTGATTGCTTCATAAGACTTCAATATAACATCAGGAGTCGTGTGTATTAATTTTGTGTTGACTCATATGATTTTTTGACTCTCATAGCGCCGGTAGCTGTTGACTTGCATTGTATGAATCACAAAGGAGCACAGTTTTAGCTAAAAATCATCTTTACAGCTCTACTCAAGAAAAAAGTCAGCTACATCTTGGATGGCCTGAGGATGAGTAAATTAACAGCACATTTTCATTTCTGGGTGAATTATTCCTTTAACGGCAATAATAAGACTAGTGATGTTATCAGCAGGAACATCTCTTACCTGAGCTCTTTCTTCACCTCCTCATAGTCTGTCTGTGTCTGCAGCTTCTCCTCCAGTTGCTGGACAAATGAAAAGACTGTGATGAGGGCAAATGTACAACAGTGGAGCAGCTCAATCGTACACACACAGCCTGTTACATGGCCACTGAAGTATAAGATCGAACCGTACATGATGCACACTGTACACTACAACATCAATACCCCCGGAAAAAAGAACAGTTTAGAACAGGACAGCGACCTTTCTGACACAGTGCAATTTTTCACTTTTATTTTTTCATTATCACTATGCATTGCCCAGCATGACCACTGGAAACCACGTTCTTGTGCAACCAGTTCTGCCAAGCACAGATCAGTTTATGTGAGGTGCACAAGTAAACACAAGATGTACAACCTAGTCTGTCAAAATGATGGAGTTCTCATCATTCTCAAATCAGTCAGAGCCACTAAATCTCATTTTATCAGCTTAAAAATAAACACTATTTCTGTGCTTTACATGCTTTAAGGTCCATGAGATGCTCTTGGGCGGTAATGTGTGCAGACTGGTTGTTCACATGAAAATGACTGTGTCTGGATTTGTAAACTGGTAACATTTTAGTATAGGGACCAGTTCTCACTATTAATTAGTTGCTTATTAGCATGCATATTTCTAGTATATTGGCTGTATATTAGTACTTATTATGAAGCACATATTTTGCATGACCATATTTCACATTCCTAATCCTACCCAATACCTTAACTTAATAACAACCTTACTTACTATTAATAAGCAGCAAAATATGACTTTATTAAGGCAAAAGTCGTAGGTAATAGTTAATAGTCAGAACTGGACCTTAAAATAAAGTGTGACCCTTTGCAACTGTTAATAAGATATGTTTCGTACGTGTGCAGGTGTGTAGTAGGAAATTAAAATACTAGAATAATTATACAGGGGGAAAACAATTTCTGGAAAGATTTTAATACAATTTCATGAATAAATGTGACACTGTATGACATTTACTTTCAGTTTATTGTCAGTAGTTGCATTTGTGGATCATTGCGCTCAAGATTTTCCTACTCATCATTTCTTCTGTGTTTTCTGTACAATTTTTTACAGACATGGCTGTGCCTTTATTTGGATGAGCATCCAGTCTATTTCTGTAGTCACTAAGGATGCACCGCAATGAAAGTTCTGGGCCGAAACCGAAAATTCTGGATGCATTTGGCCGAAAACCGAAACCGAAAATGCTTTGTAATGATTATTTATTATATTATTAAATAATATAAAGTAATTTTGTAAGACTTTTTAGACCTGCCAACCTTGGAAAAAGCTTTTGTTAGTACTCAAAGTATATTTTTCTCTTTTCGGCTGAAAATCGAAAATGGCATTTTCAGCGGCCGAAAATTCGGTGCATCCCTAGTAGTTACATCAACTGCAAAAAATCACACATCAAAAATTTTAGCAGCTTCAGCTACAGTATGCACCAGACTTGCAGGACTTCAGCTTTTTGTGTTAATTTAGAAAACTATCCAGGACGCCAGTTCCGTCTCGCAAACTGGAAGTCGAGAGTAATGCAAGAGTGGTTTGAGTGAGGTTGTCTACCTGGAGCGTGGCGGTCTGGCTCTTGAGCTGCTGCTGTAGCTGGCTGATCTGTGCGGCTGAGCTCTCTCGGAGCGTGGAGAGGCTGGCCTGCAGTCTCTGGACGTCCTCCACCAGCTGGAGCATCTCGTGCTCCTTCGCACTGAGCTCCGACTCCAGACTCGAGCGCGACACCAGCTCGGCACTCTCATCCTGATTAACACACACACAACACACTGAGCGCCATATAAACACACACAGATACAGGCGAATGTGTCAGATCTCACACAGAGGTTTACTGTGCATTACTGACGTGCTGCGGATGAAAGATGTGAACCAACAGTAACGTTAGCCAAAAATCACAGTGGAGCACCTGCTAGAGTCAGAATTAGGAATGTGTAACGCTTATTATGTCACCAGTGTAGGGAAGGTTACTTTGGAAATGTAATAGGTTACAGATTACAAGTTACCCTATCTAAAATTTAAGATGTAAATGAATAAATAAAATGTACATATTGTAACTATTTAAATTACTTTATTAATGTAACTTGATTACATTTGATTACTTTTCTAAATTTGTAATGTTTTCAACTGTTAATCATTTTGAAACAAGTAAAGCAGGCAGGGTTAACCTTACAGTAGCGCTCAACACTGATTACTGTCACTTTCAAAATTCATCACTTTTTTCTAAATCTTCATCACTTCATTTAAGATTATAATAATTTAATTTAAAGCACAGCACCACAAAATCAGACTTTAGCACCTCTTTTTACTTTGAGATTGTTCTGAGGTTAAATATAGATTTAAAATCATAAGATATAGTTTAATAGTTATGATACTGTTTTTGAAATCAAATCTTTGCATAGGAAACAGGAAAAACAGGCATCTAACAGTGCTTCGGGAAAAAAAAAATCTTAGAAAATAAAGCATACACATAAACCCAAATAGGAAATAAAACAGTTATCAAATAAGCATGTGTCGTATTCTGTGTCCTAAACTCCTGAAACATTGGTGTCTCATATTTTAGAGCAGTCAATGCAATTTTCATAAGTAACTAATTTAATTACACATTTTTTCTCAGTAACTGTAACTGATTACAATTACATTAATTTAGTAATTACATTACGTAATTCCGTTACAAGTAACGTCTCGGTTATGTATGTAACCCTTCAGGGAACGGAGACGTTACGTCGACTGAAGTTAAGGGTCTCACTCGGGAGCCCCATTCACCTCTGAGCTTTAGAAGAAAAGGCCAATGAGAATTGGCGAGTGGAATTGGCATGCCAAGCCACTCCTCCGTACATACGGTATATACAGTAAGATGGCGGCGTGCATTCACTCATTCAGGTTTGTGCTGAGGAGCCTAGACGCAACCCGCCCATTCAGCGCAGTTCGAGGTTGTGGCATGAGGGACGTAACGTCTCCGTTCCCTCCTTCAGGGAATGAGGGTTACATACGTAACCGAGACATTCCCTTTCAGTCAATCACGTTTGACGTTACGTCGACTGACGTTAGGGGTCCCTATGGAAAATGCCACAACCCGAACTGTGTTCCGTAACTTGAGGATGCAGATGCTGACAGGCAAGCGTTTCAGAACAAATGTATCTCAAATCGTAACCTTCCCAACGCCCTGTAAGCCAGATAAGCGGGCCCACCAGGGGTGCCAGTGTTTTCATTGGCAACCGTTGGGGGGCCAAGCACAATGACAGAATGTAAGGTCATGTGAAAAACTTGGAAAATGAAGTAATCAAGGGGAATACGGTGGAATCCAACCGTGGCAGAACTGCGATATAAAAGCCAGGTCCGGAGAAAAGAAGGCAACTCGCCACCGGACGCAGTAACAGACTTCTCCGCCAAGTCTGCAACTGCGGGGCAGCGGAGGACCCAGAGTTCACCAGCGGGGAACAACTAGGAAAAAAAGCACACGCATCCAAACTAGGAATGGTGCCGCAAGCCGAACACCGAGCCCGCCTCCTGCAAATTACCTGATATTACCCAACACACGGGAGGACACGGGCTCCACCCGAAGATTATAGAACCTTGCAAAGGTGTTAGGTGTTGCCCAGACTGCAGCTCTACAGATGTCTGCAAGAGAGACGCCGTGCGCCATGCCCAGGAAGAGGCAACACTCCGAGTGGAATGAGCCCTCACTCCCAGGGAGCACGGCTCATCTTGGAACTGGTACGCCAAGGTGATGGCATCCATCAACCAATGAGCCAACCTCTGTTTGGAGACTGCCATCCTCTTCTGCTGGCTTCCAAAGCAGACAAAGAACTGCTCGGAGCATCTGAAGCTCCGGGTGCGTTCCACGTACTGTAAATGCGCAAAGCACGGACGGGACACAGCAACGCAAGGTCTGGGTCTGCCTCCTCCGAGGGCAGCGCTTGCAGGCTCACCACCTGGTCTCGAAAGGGAGTGGTGGGAACCTTGGGCACATAACCAGGCCAGAACAGCGCAACCAACAGGACCTGCTCCTCGTCCTCCCTGATCTTGCACAGGGTCTGTGCAAGGAGGCTCACTGGGAAGAAGGCCTATTTGCGTAAACCCCGGGGCCAGCTGTGTGCCAGCGCATCCGTGCCGAGGGGGACCTCAGTCAGGGAATAAAACAGCCTACAGTGGGAGGACTCTCGGGAAGCGAACAGGTCCACCTGGGCTTCCTCAAATCGACTCCAAATAAGCTGAACCACCTGAGAATGGAGTCTCCATTCTTCGGGGAGGGTAAGCTGTTGTGAGACGAGCATCGGCTGCACGATTGAGCTTTCCCAGAACATGAACAACACGCAGCGATTTGAGCCGCGTTTGACTCCAGAGGAGGAGATGGCGGGCGAGTTGCGACATGCGACGGGAGCAAACACCGCCCTGGTGGTTGATATACGCCACTGTTGCGGTGTTGTCCATCCAGACAAGTACATGCTTGCCCTGCAGCAACGGTCGAAACCGGCGAAGAGCAAGCAGCTCTGCTAGCAACTCGAGGCAATTGATGTGCCACTGCAGTCGAGGTCCTGTCCAGGAGCCCGAGGCTGCATGCCCGTTGCATACGGTGCCCCAGCCCGTCTGGTGACAACGACATGCTTCGACACCCGTTCTAAGGGCACTCCTGCCCGTAGAAACACAGGGTCTGACTAAGGTCTGAAGAGGTGGCGATAACCCAGGTTAACGCCAAACCGAAGAGTGCCATGGCGCCATGCCCATCTCGGGATCCGGCCATGCAGCCAATGCTGAAGCGGTCTCACATGTAACAGGCCGAGCGGCGTAACTGCGGCTGCTATATGCCCCAGGAGCCTGTGAAATAGTTTTAGAGGGACAAATTCACAAATTCAGGCAGTTCAACACTGACTGCGCACGCTCGTTCGTGAGACGTGCTGTCATGTTGACCGAATCCAGAATCACGCCGAGGCAAGATGAGATTGATGGCCTCCGTCTGCTTCTGGACTGCAGAGAACTGCTTGGCAAAGTCCTCGACAGTGTCGCTGAAGAGGCCGGCCTGGGAGACGGAGGCGTCGAGAAAGCAAACTTTGTCGGCGTCACGCATCTGCGCCAGGTTCAGCCAGAGATGGCGCTCCTGGACCACCATAGTGGACATCACCTGACCGAGGGACCGCGCCGTGACCTTCATCATTTGGAGAGCAAAGTCGGTCGGCATACGCAATTCCTGCATCAACCCCGAGTCAGGACTACCCTCATGCAGCTTTTTCAGTGCCTTGACCTGGTGAACCTGCAGGATGGCCATGGCGTGCAGGACGGAGGTGGCCTGGCCCGCAGTGCTGTAAGCCTTGGCAGCCAGGGCTGACGACAGCTTACAGGCTTTGGAAGGGAGGCGCGGACGGTTCCTCCAGGTGGCAGCATTTTGCGGGCACAAGTGCACCGCAACCGCACGCTCCACCTGGGGAACGTCAACGTACCCTCTGGCCGCCCCACCATCGAGGTTAGTGAGGAGGGAAGAGCCTCCTCTGATGCAGCGATAGACATCTTATCCTCTTCCGGAGCCCTGAAAGAGACGCTGGGTCCGCCGCAGGACGAACCGGCGCCATCTTCCGGGAGCTCAACGGGGCTACACTGAGAGGGGCCGGACTTCCATGGGGGCTGGCCCGACGAAGCATTCCTGACCGTGATCCTCGCGTCACCCTTGTCCCTAATCAACGCAGCCACAGAGTCTTTACGACCCGACGAACTGGGCTGGGTAGAGCCCAAGGGAAGCCTCATTATAAATTAGCATAGCCATGGACATGTGCTCACAATGTGGGCATGAGCCATCCACGAACACAGTCTCAGCATGCTTACGGCCCAGACACGTGAGACCGCGATCGTGTCCGTCGTCAGAGGTAAGGAAACTACTGCACCCAGAAGTACACGGTCGGATAGACATCTCGAAAGACACTCTCGACAACCGTGCTTGCTGTAGGAAATTGCTCTTTTAGGCTGGTTTGCCCAGGGAAGGACCGTGGCACTTATCTGTGCGTAACGAGGCGATCTCTCTGCTGAAATGCAAGAGAAGGAAGATTCTCCGCAGCTGAGAACTCCTGCAGCTTGATGGTGTAGATGGTTGATGGTGAAGATTCCTTTTCTTCTTTCTTCTAGAAAGCAGCGCTCACGAAGCGATTGGCTCCGAAGCAAAAATCTGAATGAGTGGATGCACGCTGCCATTTTAGATACCCGTATGTACGGGGGAGTGGCTTGGCATGCAAATTTCACTTGCCAATTCTCATTGGCCTTTTCTTCTAAAGCTCAGAGATGATTGGGGCTCCCGAGTGAGACCTCTAACGTCAGTCGACGTAACGTCGAACGTGACTGACTGAAAGGGAACTAGTTACTCCCCAACACTGTATGTCACTAAGAAAGATGACATGAACGAAGCTATAGAGGAGTACAAGAATAAAGGCATACAAAGACAGTGATCAGGGCTGGGTTTCCCACACAACTATGTAACCACCATAGTATGATGCATCATTGGAGAAATTAACTAGCTTGTTTCTTGAAACCTTTATATATACTTTATGAGATTATAGCAGTGGTTTAGTTTATTTGGCAAACCATATTGTGGTGTTTAAGATTCGGCAGTCTTATAATATCGCTACCAGCCACCTCTATAGTAGAATATGGAACAGCAGCGGAGAGCAGGTACCGTGTATGGAGTCGAGTCGATCCGTGTCTGCAGTGGGGATGATTTGTTAGCTGATGTGATCTGCTCTCTCAGAGCTTCAACCTCCCTCTCAACAGCTTCTGCTCTCTGCAGAAAAACATCATCAACAGAGTTAACAACGCCATCATCTTAGCTTTTAAAGGGACAGTTCACCCCAAAATGGAAATTCTGTGATAATTTCCTCAACCTCATGTCATTCCAAACCCATAAAACTTTGGTTAATTTTTGAAACACAAATTTAGATGTTTTTTTTAAGTTTCTGTCCTTCTACTGAAAGTCAACACAACCAAATTTTTCAAAAACGATACTTTCCACAAATGTATTTCAAGATTAGCCAACGTTTTATAGGTTTGGAACAACATGATGACGACAATATGATTGACACAATGACGACACAATTTTCATCATTATTTGGTGAACTAACCCTTCTAACATTCGGGTTTTTTTTGCATTTTAACAATTTATGTATTATTTTCAATATAAAAATTAGGGATGTGCGCGATGACTAATTTGACTGTCGTTTAAAAGAAAGTTTTGTATCCGACTAGTCGACTAGTCTAAAAGCAAGAAACCCCCAAAAGATGGTAAGAAAAAAAAAACCTCTGTGCGTGCGAGTAGCATATATAATAGCCTATATTTGAAATACTTAATCTATGAATCACACTGTCAAATCCCTCAATGAATTCCGCTTGCTGCACACTTGCCTCGCGTTATCATTTCATTTTAGGCGGTCGTTAAAAAGAAAAAAAAGAAGAGCATACACTCAACGTCGGCCAAAGCATAGCTTATTTATTCAAATCAGCTGGGGAAATGCAGAACAATGGAAAATCAATCAATAGCCTGACAGAATTCTTCATCTTCATATATAACGTTAACCAACATATTAAAACAAGTCAAAAACAATAGGAAGGTTTATCAAGAGACAGCATTAAAACGGCTTTTACAAACGTACTTTGTGTAGGCTATATGTCTAAAAACAAAATGCAACAATGCCCATTTTACTTACACCATGCGTTATTTGTTCTATTATCAACGTGGTCTGGTGAAAGACGGGACCTGAGGCGATTAACAATAAAATTCCTGCACTTGAAAAAACGCGCTCGGCAGGAACTGAAGTCGCAGGCACGCAGAGATAACGAAAAGCAAGCCGATAAAAAAAAGACGGGCTCGGGCCGGTAATTCTGATAAGCTGTCGGACAAGGCCGGGCTAGGGCCTGAGCGTCTCGGGCCGCGGGTTGAGAACCACTGCTCTAAGCTAACGCCTACGTGCCTGTATTGAATATGATTACGCATCGCTCCAGTAGAGTTATTGTAAGACAATTTGACATTACACAGTTTACACAAAACTTTTCCGTTTCCTTCTAATTCAAAATAATCCCACACCTTCTCGTCTTTCGCATGGTCATTTTTGAACTCGCCGCAACTGACACGAAGAAAACGCATGTGAGGTCTGAGGTAAAAATGTAGTTTCCGCCCAGATAAACTTTTAAAAAGAATGTATTATTTTTCAAACGTTTTATTTTAACTTGTTATTTAAAATGTTTTAAATGCAATGTTAAAATGACGGTAATTTGAATGATAAAATCATGTTTTTTTTTCTTTTTCTGTCGTGTAATCGACTATTGTTTTCTGTGTCGACTAGTAGGAGCTGTACCATTTAGTCGACTAGTCGACTAGACCCGCACATCCCTAATAAAAATGCACAACCAGGATGAGGAAAAACTACCTGTCATAAGTGCAATCTGAAAACTTGGAATTTGATGAAAGTGTTACAAAAGGAATAAATCTGTACCTGATTGGCTCGCTCCAGATCAGTCATCACCATGTCAATCTCATCAGCTCTGAGAACCAAATAAATTCACCAATATCTCTCTTATAATACATGTGTACAAATGCAGAGATGAATTCTATGTGCTTCAATGCTTATTATGTGAACATGCGCTCACACTGTATTAATGTAGCACACACATCTAATTACATGATGATTATGACGATGATGATCAGACAGACTCTTTAATTAGAAGTGGCCCAATAAACTTTAGATCTGCAAGTCACATTCATCTTAAATGTATATTGTGCACTATTTAACCATTTATAAACTTAGTAAACAGCATTTGCCAGCATTAACAAGCAGACAATTTTGACTGGGAGAATAAAAGTAATTGTTCACTTCTGTTCATTATTTCATCTATACTTACTTTCCCGATTTTTTCTAATATGCTGATTTGGTGCTCAAGAAATATTTCTTCTTATTATCAAAACTAAAAACAGTTGTGCTGCCTAATATTTTTGTGAAACTTTATACATTTTTCTTTTTATTGAATAGAAAGAACAGCATTTATTTGAAGCAGATTTTTCATAACAATGTCAATGTCTTTACTGTCATTTTTGTGACTTACTGATCCCATACTTTTGAACGGAAGAGTACAGTGTGAGTGATCAATTTAAATATTTAGAAGCCAGTTGAACATGAAAGAGTTTATTAGAGCCTGACCGATATATCGTTTAGCCGATATTATCGGCCGATATGAGTCTGTCGCCGATATATCGGTATCGCGAATATGCTGCCGATATGAAATTTTTTTTTACAGAACATATAACGCAGATTAAATGCTTCTGAATGGTGTAATTACTTAGTTTGTCCAGCAGAGCGCGCTCCATTGTTTGCTACTGGACCCAGGTCAGTGTAATGTAGAGATGTCACATTACAATGATTCTAATTCTTAGTTTTGCATGATGATATGATGAATGGATGGCTCATTTTTAACAGCAGATTCAGTGACGTTAGAGACTAGAGCTGATCTGCGTATCACGGCACGCGTCTGCGGCGCATTAAAGCCTGTGTTACGGCCACCGGAGCTGATCGCGGCCACTCAGTCAGTGCTGGTGTTTATACCAGCCGTGCCGTGGCCCAGAACTCATGCTTATCACATCAGTCACATCACATCGCGCGGCGCGACAAAATACAATATTTCTATTGTATTTTGTCGCACCGTGTAGAATAGAACCCATTATAGTGATGCTGTCTACACTGGATGCAGTAAACTGATGCCTCGTTCTATTTATGACGTGCTGACACAAAGTTCAAATGATTTTCAACGGTCACTTTGTCGCGTTCTGTTGCGGCGCGGACACGGTGTCAGCATAGTTTGTCAGTACAGTCAGTAATGTAGCAGATTGAAAAGTTAGTATCTTTCTGCAGTCCAATAGACGGCAGTGCAGTGGTGGCTTGAGTCTGTTGAATGGTGATTTAACGCTACGTTGTCACCTAGTTGGAGAGACTCAATGCTAAGTAAATAAACAACAACTTCCCCGTCTTTTACTCTCACAATGAGCTT